TATATATTTTCACCTATTAATAAGAAATGATAATAAATAACTTGAAGTACCTTCAACATCAATAAAAAAGACACATTCATTCTGATTTCCATTGCAATCTATTGCTGTAAAAAGAACTTCAGTAACTCCAATGCTAAATTCGGTTCCATTTGTGACATTGTAAGACTCAATAATTGCATCTTCACAACAGTTATCAGTAGCGATGGCAGAGGTCCATGACACTCCAGCGGTATTAACACCTTCGTCAGTATCAACAGTAATATCGTCTGGACATATCACATCAGGAGATGTTACATCTATTAAAGAATAAAAGGTAATCACAAGAAATTATGTAAAAACGCAAACCATATATATGTTTATTCTATTCAATATGTAGCAGCATAATATGACTTTTCTAAATATGCACATACAGAATACATACCAAAAATGTAAACATTGAAGGAGCAATTGCCAGTGTTTCCTGCCATGTCTGTTGCATTACAGGTTACTGTGTAGTTGTCCAATGGAAAAATACCTTCAGTCGGGTTACAGAACACAGTTACATCACTATCATAATTATCTGTTGCTGTCACTTCAGTCCAAGTTACATCGGAAGTGCAATTATCATCAGCATCAAATTCTACATCTTGCGAACAGTTCAAAACAGGAGCTTCGCAATCTGAACATCAATAAAAATATATTTTTAAAATAATGAACAGTTTCTAAGTGGTATAACTGAATAATTCTAAAAAAAACACAAACAAATATTGTTCTTACCAATCACTACTAAAGTAAAATTGCATAATACAGAGTTGTCACTACAGTCAGTGGCTATGTATGTTACTACATTTTCACCAATTTCAAATTCATCTCCTGATGCGTAATCTGACGTTATGTTTACATTGTCACAACAGTTGTCAGTTGCGTTGATGAGTTCCCAAGTGACAGATGTTGCTATAGAACCAGTTTCAGCACAAACTTCTATGTCAGCTGGGCAATTTATGACTGGATCTTCATCATCTGGTTAAATTAAAAATGATTAATTGATTGAAATAGAGTATATTATTATTTTTATGATATATACTTATAATTTCTAATATTAACATACTTTTATCTAAACACATGTAAATATTCCAATAATTTTGTAAACCTTAAATACTTACTGGATCTTCATCATCTGGTTAAATTAAAAATGATTAATTGATTGAAATAGAGTATATTATTATTTTTATGATATATACTTATAATTTCTAATATAACATAACTTTATCTAAACACATGTATATATTCAAATAATTTTGTAAACCGTAAATACTTCAATATTTCATTTATTTACTTAATTTCATGATTAATACCCTACATTTTCTATTACTAATTATACTATTCATAAACTCTTCTCAGTATAATTATAAGACAATCAAAATATGACTTACCATAAATAGTAATGGTAAATGTACAATTGCCAGTGTTATCATAATAGTCAGTGGCATTACATGTAACAACAGTGCTGACATCAACAAATGTGCTTCCACTTATATAATCACATACTGGTGTGAAAGAGTCTCCAGAGTTGTCAGTAACATTGGGTGCTGTCCAGGTGACATTTGCCAAGCAGTTCTCATCACCTGTTACGTTTTGGCTAGGTGGACATTCAAGATCCGGAGGCTCACAATCTAATTATAATCCATAAAATGCTGTCAGTGCAACATATTACACTCATTTGAAGAATCAAATCACTTAACTTTGGAATAAATTTTTATTATTTTTTCAAATATGTACCTGTAAGCAATAAAGCTTACTCCTAACTACTAATAAGTACTTTTAATGAAGTTACTTATTTCAATTTTTTTCTTGTACCTTCAGTGAATATAACAACACGCAATCAAACATTTTATGTTGATAATAATTACCTTCAATAATATTTAGTATTTAAATGTTTATAGTACCTTTAACTTCAACAGTAAATTTACAGTAACCAACATTCCCATTACAATCTGTTGCTGTATATTCTACAGTGTATACACCAAGGCTCAGAGGTTCTCCACTGGTGTAGTTAGCAGTTATGTTGACATCACTACAGCAGTTGTCAGTTGCATTGGCTGGTTCCCAGGTGGCATTCACTGAATCTGTTCCTAGGTCAGTGCACACCTCAATGTCAACTGGGCAAGTCACATTAGGGACTGTCTCATCCTGTCTCTTATACACATCTAGATGTGTATAAGAGACAGGTATACTACCATAGGGGGAAACCTTAACAATGGAAAGTGTTAGAAATAATTCCTTAAGGCGAAAATACTGCCGCTAAGGGGAAATTTTAACGATGTTAAGGAGAAATATAGACAGAGGCTCATTGCCCTAGGTGTCAGTTAGGAGTAGTATTAAGATATATATACATATATATATATCTTAAGTAAATAAAACTAATACACAAGATAATTTTTGACATTGTACTTCATTGGTTAATCTAATAAAAACATCAATCAATAAATATCTCCAGCGTGCGTTTTCTTTTTGTCATAAGGAAGTACAAATGCCTATTATTACGGTCAGTCCAACTATTAGCCGGCTCTCCAAAGATAAAAATAAAAAAATCCAAAGATTAATTGTCAAAATATTATAAAAATCATAAGGACCTCTGCTCCAAAACCAATCCATGCGCAAAGAGCCCCGACTGCACTCTTGTAAAAAGGGCCCCTCGCAACCTAGTTACGCCACTGTTTGTAAGTCGAATTTTGATAAAAAGTATTTTTTTGTGATATTGCTATATTATTTATTATTAACAATGGCATTCTCCTAGTGAACCATGTGATATTACTGCTTGTACACCGTTGCAATTTTCCAGGCGTTTCTCAGCCGCTTGGCCCTTAAACACTGTGGTTGCTGGTTACGTCTCGTAACAAGCAACCATTATTGCCTTGCCCATTCTTTAATCTGTCCAACTGATAAATAAATATAAATATAACATTTATATATATATATATACTTTAACAACATCAGACAGCAGCTCCATTTAATTGAAAACTTAATTGTATCAAAGTGTTAAAAATACTTGTATTTATATGGTGCACCATTATGTGGACTCGGTTCAGTTAGTAGGCCTATTACAAACCTCCAATTAGTTTTATATAAAGAAATCTTACCAATGACATTAATTGTAAAGTTACAATTTCCAGTGTTGTCATAATCGTCTGTGGCATTACAGGTTACAATTGTAATGTAGTCAGAAAAGGTGCTTCCATTTACATAATCACATTCCGGTATGGAAGTATCCCCAGAGTTGTCTGTGACATTCGGTGGCATCCAGGTAGTGGTTGCCATACAGTTAGAATCTGCAGTTAAGTTTTGGTTTGGGGGACATTCAAGCACTGGTGCTTCATTGTCTGATAGAGAAAACATTACAGCAACATTAAACCAAGACTTTTAATTGCACAGTTAAAAGTTATTGATAAAATCTTGAATTTGAATAGTTTCTCGTTAAAGTGTATGTTACAGCAAAAACACTCTTCCAGTTAAACAATATCTAATTAACTGATGCACATTCATCTATCCAGGTTGACAATTATAAATATAAATTAAAAGTTTATATCTCTGGATAAAGCAGAAAACACAACTACAGTGATAGTCAAAAGCTTTAAAACGTAAGTTCTTTTGTACAAAATTTTAATTTATATTTATAATATCTAATAGATTATATGTTGTACCTTCAACATTAATATGGAAGACACATTCATCCTGGTTGTCGTAGCAGTCCACTGCTGTGGTTGAAATTTTAGTAACTCCAATTTTAAAATCACTGCCATTCGTAGCATTATATGACAAATTAATGTTATCGAGACAGCAGTTATCAGTAGCAAATGCAGATTCCCATGTAACGTATGCTGTATTAACACCTACATCAGTATCAACTGTAATATCGTCTGGACATGTCACATGAGGTGAAATAGCATCTAATAAAAAATAAATAGTCAAGACTAATTATGTTATTATGAAGTGTTCTGTCTTATGTATGCTGAAAAATAGTGTATGTGACTGCCTTAATGAGAAAAAAAAACCTCTCTTCAAATATGGCAAAGCAAAATCGCATTTATTTGGTTCCTCAAAGAAATTATATGGTGCAGCAGATCTTGACCATAGGATTGGGGAATTTGAATTCAAGTCGTTGACAGTTTTAAATATCTTGGTATCTGGTTTGATCCATCACTTTCTTCTTAAATGTGCATGTGGACAAACTATGTTGTAAGGTGAGCTGTAAAATTTCTCTTCTAAGCAGATTACGTCATTATAATGATAACAATTTCAAATTTAACATTACAAATCTCTCATTTTACCATTACAGTATTTGATTATTGTTATTTAGTTTGAAAAAACACTGCGGAAAGAGTTTATTAGATAAATTACAAAAATCATTACAGAGTAGAGCAGCACCTGTTATAATTATGATTGATCACAAAACAGATTTAATTCAAATGTATGTTTCTCTTGGTTGGTCTGTTCTAAGTGAAAGGAGAGCAAAAAATATTCACAGTTTAGATATTAACAATTCTTCAGTGGCAGAGTCCTTTCTCTGCAAAATACGTTTACTTCAGTTGACAGGGTACATAGGCCTAACTATTCCACAAGATCCAGTTATGCAGGAAGCTTAATTTCACTTAAAGTCAGAACTGAATCTGGTAAAATAAGATTTACAATTAGATAACAAATGTTTCAGTGGCAGAGTCCTCTCTCTGGTAAAAGAAGATTTACTTTTTAGGATACTAAAAATATGGAATGCAGGGGAGGGGTAATTCTTTTTCGTCATTCTTCTATTTCAAAGTTATTTGATATTTTCTGTTGTTAATCCCGGGAGAACATAACATTTTACTTAAAAGCAAACCCAGTATAAAGAACAAATAAAGCCGGACACTCACTGCGTCGTGCGACGGTCGTGACGAATCCATGTTTGCTTCCGGCAAGTGATAGACGATGCAAAACCATCTGCTGATTGTCAGTGGCATCCTCATTAAAAAGACGATCCATTGGGTCCGCAGTGGGTAACTGGCTTAAATATCCATATAGTGCTTAGTGCACAGTGAATTTTGATTAACATAACCTTTGTATAATTTTAGACAAAGCCTATTCTCATAATACCAGGGATTAACAATGTTCACGATAATTATTCTGCGAAATTTTTCTTTTGGCTTAACTCAATTGTCAATTTTTATTATTCATTTTTTGAAAAAAAAAAAATCAGAAATATTCTATTGAATCCAGAATGAATTTATTTTCTCTAATTATTTTGTAGGTTTTTGTTACTTTACGTTTTTGAGCTACCATTAGCGTAAACGACTACGGTACGTCATCAGAAAATATCCTAGAAATACCCAGTGAAATTTAAAATAAAATAGGACCAAGTGAACTACCTTGAGAACACCTATATCGACATTAATGGCTTTTAATTTCTTTTATTTTCTTTAATTTGTTTATTTTATTCATTTCTTCCAACAGCGAAGAATCGTCACTTACCTACAGTTTCCTATTGCTGAGATAGTTTTTTAACTATTTATAATATATGATGAAAGTGTTGGCACAGCGGCTGAGGCTCGGACTCTCAACCCCTTGGTCAGAGGATTTCGAAATTCTTTCTGTGCAAGTCGTTTGTGTCCTTGGACAAGATTTATCTGCGTTTGTCTCTCTTTACCCAGGAGTATATATGGGTACCGGTATATGCCAGTGAGGAGGAGTGGTGATTCCCTCAAAGCATTGCACAGTTTGGCCACCAATGATTAAGAAAGAGGGATGGACAGGTTCAATTGACTACCTTTACATTTATTTAGCTTCAGTAAATAAAGTACGGTGTGATCAATTGTGTCAAGACATTCGGAAATATTGACTATGAATTTTGATGTGAAAACCTTTAGTAGTTGTGGTTTGTGGTTATTTCTATCAGTTACTGATTCAACTTTAGTGACAAGACATTGGACAATAAGTATGTGAACACACTTATACATCATGCATGAAAATTCGAAAATTTTGGATGACTTACAAAATCACCTCTTGTTTGTTGTTGCATATGGATTTGGAATTTCTTGAAAATGGAACCCAGTGTTAGCTCCAAAATTAATATTATTATTTAAATAATGTGCTGGAAACCGATCTGCTTTGCGAGATTATTCTATATACAAGTGACTACCGGACTAAATCAAGTTCAAGTTCAAGTTTTCAAGTTCAAGTTTTATAACTTGAACTTGAACCTGAACCACTGATTGAGGAAACTCCAAACCCAGGTACTCACTGTGTCTGACTGTCGTCAGCCGACGCAATTCTATGAAGAACGCAACATCACGCCGCGCCCAAAATGGATCCTTTTTTTTTAAAGTTGACGGTCCACTCGGACTGCCACCAACAATCAGCAGACGGCGTCGTGTCATAGTTACCAACCGTCTCGCCTCCTGCGGGACGGTCCTGAATTTCAAAGTGATTTTGGTTGAAACATGCATTTTGCAGAAACACATGGGTGATCATAAATTTGTCAAGCATTTAGAAAAAGTATATGAGTGATAACGAATTATCATGAATGGGGAAAATGTATATAAAATTAGAAGAAATTGGTTTTGTTAAAAATACGAAAACGGTGATGCAGTAACTTGATTGACATTATTTACGTCAATACTTAATTCACTGACGCGTTAAAAAAATTATCAGTATGCCTCTTCGTTTTTTGTTAAAGTAATGAAATGTTTGTGTACATAGTTAGGGTGCTCAACTTAAACATAAGGTACATTGAAACTGAAATTGTACGAGGCTTTATTAAAAATATTCTTGTTTATGTACCGTATTCGGTATTGTCAACAAACGCTCCCTGAAATCGTTTCAAAACAGCTTAAAAATTCTCAGATTGTCGGACAGCCAGGGGCCCTCGCACCCTGACCCCACAAGGGCTCCGCCTTTGGACGCCAAAGGGGCCCGGCGCTCCCCCCACAGCAACTGGCGTAGTCACGCATTTCAAATCTCTCACGTTGGTAACTATATCGTGTCGTCTAGCACACGCAGGAAACATTAATCCCTTTGTGTACAGTATTATTTCGGTGTTATTTTTAAACCTTAGAAAACAAACTTGTATAGAACCAAAGGTTAATTTTTTCTGTAGGCTCGCAATCAGGCAAGGTCCAAAGTGATCGGCTTCAAAGTTGCAAGTCAAATCAAGGTATGTTAGGTGTATGTGGTTTCTAGTAGTAGTGCTTAGTTAGGGCTTAGTCTTACTTAGGGCTCACATGAAGTAATGTCTGTTGCAATTGTCTGAAATTGCCTTCGTATTTGATTCAAAATCTTTGATAAGAAACACAAATATTTAAAGGCCTGATACCTTTGTACTTTAGTAGATTTAGGGTATTTGTAATAGAAATATATATATATATATGTATATATATATATAGATTATTAATAATACATATATAAGATTATGTACCTTGGAATAGGCAGGAATGATGCTTTGAGATTAACAGACCTTATGTAGCAACAACCAGTCAAAGTTGTAGTAACTTCTTTAACTTCTAGAACTTTATGATTATTTATGATTATTATTTTAATCACATATCTAAATAATAATTTAAATTCCATAATATGTACCGAAAATGTAGATGTCAAAGGAACAATTGCCAGTGTTGCCTGCCATATCTGTTGCATTACAGGTTACAGTGTAGTTGTCCATATCAAATATACCTTCAGTTGGGTTACAGAAAACATTTACCTCACTGTCATAATTATCAGATGCTGTTATGTCAGTCCAGTTAACATGGGATTGGCAATCATCATCAGCAGCATAAACCGTCGAGTCTTGAGAACAGTTCAACACAGGAGCTTCACAATCTGAATATCAATAAAAGTGTAACAGTTAACACATATTGAATAAGCTTCTTTTATTGTTATACAAATAAATATTGTATATAGAACAAAATTAGTCAACAGGGGCGGATCCAGATATTTCCGAAAGAGGCCAATCGACACAACACCATCCTAGAGGATCCGATGGCATGCCCCCGACAACTTTTTGTTTTCTAGACGCCCAAAAATAACCTCTGATGCATTATGGGCGATCATTTTTTCTTTTTCTTTCTTTCAAAAAGCAAAAAGGAGAGGGTAGCGGCTCGCCACCCCACCCCCCACAAGCCTTCCCCTGGTCAAAGCTACGTAGCTGAGAAGACCTCTTGGCAAAGAGGCAATGAAAAGTAAGTAGTAAGCAAATCTGCACTTACCCAGCACCACAATAGTAAAATTACATGATCCACTGTTTTCATTACAGTCTGTTCCTGTATATGTGACTACGTTTTCACCAATTTCAAATTCATTTCCTGATTTATAATTTGATGTTATAGTGACATTATCACAACAGTTGTCAGTTGCATTGATGGGATCCCAAGACACATATGTTGTTATTGAACCAGTTACTGCACACATCTCTATATCAGCTGGGCAGTACAAGACTGGGTCTGTATCATCTTGTATGCATAACATAAAATTGTTGCATTTGTCAATGCAAGATTTCTGTCAAAAACACACACACACA